ATATATATATATATATATATATATATTCATTTTCATTCATTTGTACAATTAGAACAATTTTTATCTCACACACTAAGGACATTGTTTATGCATAAATAGCTTGTTACTGTAAAATATACAGTATTTTCTGTCACATACCAAAGTTAGTGACTTAAAGCTTTTATTCTCGCTGTAGTATTGTTGCTGCCGCCACCATATCGTGAAGGCGCTGTGTTTCTACTACTTTGTTTGGCCTTCCAAAAGAGGACGATATCTGCTTCGTCATGCCTAGAGCTGATCCGTGCTGGTCGCTGAGGAAATACATCAACTTCACGCTGTGGATCGCCGGATTGGCTTTCACCGTGGACGAAGCGGAGTCCAGCCCGGGGTCGTCACATGTGATTGCCGCAAGCCCGCCGGCCACGCCGTTCTCAAGCCCACCCACCTCTGCTCACTCAAGCTGGCCTCCGCATACCCTAGGCGCAATATATGACCTCACTCTAGGCCTCCGGCCTCCGCTCACTCAAGGCCGCAGTGTGTGACGCTTTTCCATTGTGAAAGTTAAACTACTTTGTTTGGTCTTCCAAAAGAGGACACGACTAGAAATCAGTGGTTAAGTTGTATTTACAACACTGCTCCAAAATAGTTTAATCCAAATATTCAGATGTGTGCAGCACATTTTATGGAGGACTGTTTCCTGATCCTAGTAGAGTAGACTACAATGCCGGCTGTTCTGACTCACAGACTGTAAGTGCGTTGTTTTATATTTAAAGGATTTGCCGATTCAAAGGCGAGTTTTTTGGCAGTGTAGTGTAGCACTTGTTGTTTGTCATTTCTCCGATCACAAATGCAGACATGGTTTTATGTTACGCTCCTGCCGGACAGGGCATCACAATATGGTAAGGGGCGTAACATTTCCGTCAAACGCTTGAGGTATTCGGCCAATCCCAACGCACTGGATAGCTGGCCAGTCAGAGCACACCTTGCTTTTCAGACCGACGAGCTTTGTAAAAATCTACGCTTTTCAGAAAGGCGGGGCATAGAGGAGCAACAATAATGTACAATATGTGGAAAATAATGTTTTTTGAACCTTAAACCGCATAAACACATTTCATTACACCAAATAATGTTCTTTTTAGCAGCATCATATGACCCCTTTAAGTATGGAAATGACACCCCTTGTGAAAAAGAAGTGTTCTTAATTTTATTAAATATGCAACTGTAATTTACTTTACTTAAAAAAACTGTACTTGCAGATAATATAATGAAGTGCAAGGCCACTTAAGTTTACTTTAAGAGAGACACTTTCATGACTAATTTTCTAAGCATAGAACATCTTGAGTACACTTTTAAAAATTGCACTTTTTTAATAATTTCAAATGAAATGTTTTGCATGTACACTTATTTTGATGTGTTGACTAACATACTTAAGAATGTATAAAGTACTTGATTATAACTTCTATGACATTTAAAATGAATATATTTTATTAAAAATTAATATATTTTAAATGTAATTAAAATTGCATTAAATATTTAAAATTGCAACTTCATCATTATAAATGTGTCATTACAAATACATGACATACAAGTTACAATAGAAATTACATTAAAGTATATTTTAAATTATAAATGCTTGTCAGTACATACAGCAGTACACTTTAACCATATTTCAAAGACAATGTTAGTAATTAAGTCCTACTTAAATGGGTCAAAAAGTACTTTAAAGTTCAGCTAATTGTGTTTAATATTAATTTAAACTGTAATACATTTTTATTTTATTGCAGATAGTATGCAATTAAGTGTCTGAATTATGGTTTCATTTAGTTGATTTCATTTATAGTTTAATTGGCCTCATTACCTACAGCAACTGTACATGTGTAGTGTGCTTAAGTGTAAATGCTATGTAGCGAATCAGCTCATGGGGAAATATGAATAATTAATCATAACTAGTTATAATTAATTATAAACATTTAGATCCACTGTAGATATTTACTTGACCTCTCAGGGTCAACTGTTTGTCAATTCTAAGAACGTTAATTTCCTGGTTAAGGGAAATAACTTTCATACTCTACAACTCTACACAGAGCTTGTAGCATACATCTGCATGATTAGGGACTCCAGTTATGAGCAAACAATGAACAACGTCAAATGAGATACAAGTAAGTCTTTATTAACTATATAAACACTTAACCTAGTCTAACCTACTACATAAACACTCACACACACAAACACGCATACAGTTGGTATAGGAAAGGGTTAAAGCTTAACTCAGTAAAGAGGAGAGAAAATAAGAATATGAAGTTATGGAACCATTTGCATATTCAGCAGATCTACTGCCTGAAGGAAACATCAGATTCTTAGTTCAAAAGTTTCTTTGTAAAAAGGTGCAAATGTTACCTAATGTATCAATTAATAAGACTAAGTTTGATACTTGCACGTCTCGTCTGTCTGAAAGAAAGTATTGATGCAGTCCAAAGGTTCAAGTTGATCTTTGCTGAAGTTGGTTGATGAAAAAGAACCAGTTTGAGTCACAGAATCTTGGTGAATAGAAAAGTCAAGGCCAAAGCCTGGCACGAACTTAGCGGGTTGCAGAAGCTTTCTAGCTCATATCTTCATCTTAGAATCTAACTGAACCACCGACTAGGGCGGGTCACTGATGTGAGGCCTTTAAGGTCTGAGAAGATTCACGCCTCTCAAGATGGGCTTGTCCAATGAGAAAGGC